TGTATATATTGCAAAATGATCACTACAACAAGCCTAGTTAACATCTATGACCACACATAATTACAAAAAAATTTTTTCTTATGATGAGGACTTTTAAGATCTACTTGCTTAGCAACCTTCAAATATACAACACAGCGTTATTAGCTGTAGTCACCATGCTGCACATTGTATCTGCAGGACTTACTTGTTTTATAACTGGAAGTTTGTACCTTTTGGACCCTTTTTGCCCACCCCCACCCCCACCTCTGGCAACCACCAATCTATTTTCTATATTTATGAGTTCTGGTTTCATTGTTGTTTTTAATTCCACATATAAGTGAGATCATACAGTATTTGTTGTTCTCTGTCTGATATATTTCACTTAGCATAATATCCTCAAGCTCTATCCATGTTACTGCAAATGGCAAGATTTCCTTCTTTATGGCTGAGTAGTATTTCATTGTGCCTATATACCACATCTTTATCTATTCCTCTGTTGATGGACACTTAGGTTGTTTCCATGTCGTAACTATTGAAAATAATGCTGCAGTTGATATGAGGGTGCATATATCTTTCCGAATTAGTGTTTTCATTTTCTTCAGGTAAATATCCAGAAGTGGAATTTCTGAATCATATGGTAGTTATATTTTTAATTTTTCTAGAACCCTCCGCACTGTTTTCCATATTTGCTGTGCCAATTTACATTCCACCAGCAGTGGGTAAGCGGTCCCTTTGAGTGCAGCTGGAAAGTTAGAAATAAAATGACAGAATGCTAATTTAATATTTAATATTGAGATTTTGAAAACAAAGTGTGTCTTTTATTATTGAAAACGCTTTGAATCTAAAATGTCTGTTTCTGGGCATTAATTGCAAAAGGAGCAAGATGAAAAGCAAACGCCTGAGGTGAGTGGAGGAAATGCTTTAACAACAATGAGAAATTTGGTCTCAATTCTCCCCGAACAATGGGAAGTTTATGTATAAATGTATACATTTGTTCATTAAATAAACATTTATCAAGTTTTTATAGTGTGGCAGCTCAGGTGTATAAAGGTGAGCCACAGCATTCTCTTCCCCTGAGAGAGCTCACGGTCAACCCAGACTGTCCTTGAGCTGCTAAGGGAATGTGGTTCAGTTCTATTCTAGGTCGGCAAGCCCCATTTTGCACAACCACCAGTGACTCATTCAATTGATTTATTTTTTTTCACAAACATAAATTAATTTAACTAACTGGTTGTTTTAGTGTCACATAGATAATAACCTGTCCTCAACATATTGGGGTGTCCCGGGGCTCAGTCCTGGGCCCTCTTCTCTCCTTTATATGCGTTCTTTTCCAAGGTGAAAAGCAGTCAGTCTCACTGCTTTAAACACCATCTATACCTCATGACTGCATATGTGTCTCTCCAGCCTCTACTTTTCCTCTGAGTTCCACAATTAGATTTGCAACTGCCTATTTGACATCCGCATTTGGACACCTAATGAGCATTTCGGACCTGTCTGGGAGCAGTGGCACAGGCCCTGTGCTCTGCCTGGACAGCCCTGCTGTCTGCAGCGGGAGCGGGTGCTAGCTCTGCTGATGCCGTTGCTCCACACAGAGCGGGAAGGGGAGACTACCCCCCTCAGTATCAGTCACCAAGTTGCTTATTTACGCAGTTATTTCTCCTTTGTCCCTTGACTCCAAGTTTGGAGTTCCGCCAGAAGCACTCCTGACTCCCTAGCTCCCTTCCCCTGCATGTGTTTCGGATTAAGCTTTCCTCAATTAATGTGGTCCCATCTGCTTTTATCATTTATGAATCGTCTCAAAGTGTCAAGCTTTCTGGTTGTGCTTCTTCTTCTTTTATATCTGTCTTCTTAATTCATTCATTTAGTGTTATAAGGTATTTTTCTGGCTGTTTTGGGTTGGAGGTAGAAGCACGCACTTTGTTTTCCATCTCGATTCAAGAGCCTCTCTGTCTTACAGATTCAGTGTTTTACTGAATATAAGCCAACTTAATAACTCAGCTATTTTGTTAATGATCGTTCTGTGCTTTAGGACTATACTTCCTTCAGGGGCTATTGAGATGTGTAGCACTACTTTACCCAAACACTAAGTGACACTCAATTGTTCGTGGAAGAAGTAGAAGCAATCAGAGTTCGGGTGGCTATTGTTTCCTTTAGCTATGAATGATCACCTCTCACTTCCTTCGATGTGTCTTGCTATTATAATTGTTGGTCTTATGTTTCATACAGTTGCCTCTCCTTTAGACAACAAAAAAAATTTTTTTTTAATGCATGTGCTTTATAGAAGCTTTGGCTTTTCAACCCCCACCCCCCTTTAGGGGTGGAGATTATTTCTGTTTTTGCAATTACATTATATAAGGAAAAGTGTCTGCTTAGCTTTTTTTAAAAGCTTTTTCATCTTAACCTCCTATAAAAGTTAATGAAAGGAAATCAACTGAATTATGTGCTGTTTGTGTGTTCTCACATGCATGCCAGGGAGTGGAACAAGCTGTATTATAAATGGATGCTAATGTGAGGATGAATCTATATGCATATGAGCATATTTGTGTGTGCATCTATGACTGTGTGTGCATTTGTGCAGCTATCCACAGGCACAACACATATGTGCATCTGTTGTGTACACTCTAACATGGAAAACCTACATTGAGGTTAATTAGAAAGGGCGATATGAAAGTATCAGTGAAAGTAAAATTTCTTTGGGCAGCTTTTACTATTATAATTAAAGGGCATGATGTAACAGTGTGTGTGCAGGAGAGACTTTGCTTATTCATCATTTAGAACAATAGTAGAAGTTAAAAAAGTTTCCCAGATTACTTCTTTTTAAGTAGGTGATGTTTTACTATAATCACATATATACATATATATGTGTATTTTTATATATATATATATATATATATATATATATATATATATTTACTTGAAACAAAGTAAAACTGAGTTTGTTTAAGCTGAGAGCCTACGTTTGAAGACAGGACTCTATAATTTAGTTCTAAAATTTTTCTATTCAGGGGATGGGAGGATAGAAAAGCTTAAAGCAAGGCTATGTTAATATCCTCTACTCTTAAAATGTAATATCCTCCTCTACCTCATTAGCTATACAAGAGCGTTGTGATGGTTAATTTTATGTGTCAACTTGGCTGGACCATGGTGCCCAGATGTTTGGTCAAACATTAATCTCAATGTTTCAGTGAGGGTGTTTTGTGATGAGATACACATCTAAATCAGTGGACTTTGAGTAAAGCTGATTGCCCTCCATAAGGTGGGTGGGCCTCATCCAATCAGTGAAGGCCTTACACAACAAAGCCTGACCTCCCCCAAGCAAGAAGGAATTGTGCCAGCAGACAGATTTGAACGTCAGCATCAGCTCTTCCTGAGCCTCCAGCCTGCTGGCCCATCTTGTCGATTTTGGACTTGCCAACCTCCATAAGTGTGTGAGCCAATTTCTTAAAATAAATCTGTTTAAATATGTAAATAGATACAGGTATATCTTTATATAAATATCTATCTTTATATCTATCTATCTATATCTATATATCTATAAACCCCCTAAATTGACTTGGAGTCCTCACATATCTTCACACTGAGGAGTAGATGTTACAGAAATTAGAGTAAACGTTACATGTATTCATGTATCTGCCTTGGGAATTGAGGTCCAAATCCCTTCTCTAGAGACCCTTTTGTGGATCCACTTACTCATTACTGCCTTTGTAGACTTCCCTGGACTATTTGTCTACTAAAAACTATGATGGTGGCCTTGCTTCTAGTCTATTGGGCATTTTCTGGATGTTGGATTCAGCTCAACTACCTGAATCATTATATGCTCATACAGCTATGGCTTCATACCTCTACTCAATTCCTAGAATTTGCACTCATCTCCCAGTCTTCCTGGACTTCCAAGTCACTGGATGGGGCCTTCATACCCAGATAAATAACATACACTTATTTCTCCTTAATCAGAAATCAGTCCTAGCCAGGCTAGGCGTTCTGCCCTGCTTTCCACACAGTGGCCGTAATGAGTGCCCCAGATTTTACATGGATTTTCCCTGATTGTCATGACAACCTTAAAAATTGAAGTGTCCTTTGCTTTAATTTTTAATTTAGTTCATATGTTTTAATGTACTATAATATAAACTTGGCCTTAAGGACAAAAGTTTACAAATAGGAAAAGTATTTGTAAAAATTCAGTGCTAAGCATGTCATCACAAACTAATGTTCACCTTGGAAGATACACTTGAGAGCTGAGAATTTGAATTAAATGCAGACCTAGATATACCAATTCTACTTGAATCAGCCAGGGTCAAATCAGGAGATATAGACCACAGCAGTTATTTAACAGACATAATTTACTATAAAGTATTATTAGCTAGGTAACTGTAGTAGTTTCCTATTGCTGCTATGACAAATTACCACAAATCCTGTGACTTAAAACAGTGCCAATTTATTACCTGAAAGTTTTAGAGCTCTGTCAGAAGTCTAAAATCAGTTTCACGGGGCTCAAATCCAGGTGTTGGCAGAACTGTGTTCTGTCTGGAGGCTCTAGAGGACAGTCCTTGCCTTTTTCAGCTTTGAGAGGCCACCTGCATGTCTTGTCCCTCAGCCCCACATCGCTCCAACCTCTGAGCTTCCATTGTCACTCTCCTTCCCTGACTCTGACCTTCTGCCTCTCTCTCATAAGCACCCTTGTGGTTACATTGGGCCCATACAGATAATCCTGGATAATCTTCCGATCTCAAGAGCCTTAATTTAACTGCAGAGTTCCTTTTGCCTTGTAAGGTAACATATTCACAGGTTTGGGGGATTAGGATGTGGACATCTTTGCGGGGGACATGATTCTATCTATCAGAGTAAGTGACAAGGCAAAAATAGAATCCTAAGGTATCACATTTTATAGACTGAATCAGCAACTGCAGGAAGCAGCAACTTCCCCAGGGTTCCAACAAAGGGAAGATGTTGGAATGTTTAAAACTTAGAAGGTTGGGAAAGGGGCCCACAGAGCAGATACCTAGGCATGCTGAGGACAAGATGTCGCCGGCTAGTGCTGGTGTCTGTGAAGGCACGCAGTGGAGCACCTTCTGCAAAGGTTGGGAGAATGCAGATCATGGCACCTGGAACACAGTGAGGCTGCAGGGGGAAAAAGCAAATCTGATGCTGACCGGAACAAGAAGCAACCAGGTAGCCCCTTGGAAGCTACAAAAAGGAGCTGGTCCCTGTCCTTCTCTCCTGCCAGTCTTCCTATGGTGCTCTATTAACAGTCTAGAGTGAGCCAGTGGGCAAAGGAAAAAGCCCCAGTATTACAAAGCAGAGCACTCGAGAGACAATAGCTTTACAAATGGCACAGGACTCAACTTGATGAAAAGCAGAAAGCACAAATCAACCAATTGTTTTGATTATGTTTCCTTGAAACATGACTTTTTCATTCAACTCATTGGTTTTTGATATGTTGCAGTTTCAGACTACCTTGAGACATACCTATGGAAAGTATCTAGATTTTTATCTATACTCTAGATGATGCTATGCTTACCAAACTTTTTAGAAAGGATGCACTCTTGGGTTGTTTGGCTTTACAACACCCCACGTGATCTTTAAAAATCCCTTCTCATGTAGATTTAGTTTTAAATTAAAGCAAATTAAAACTATTCATTTGTTTAAGGATTTCATACCATTCGTGGAGACAATTTAGGATTACTGAAAACAGGAGGAGGATTTCAGGGTCAATACAGTAAGTGGTTTCATCAAACCATTTCATAATAATAAGTGAAAAGAAACCCACACAGGAAATGTCTTGAGCCACAAGTTCAGATGAAGAAAGACCTGTACCACTTTGAGTGCCATCTATGCATCTTCACTCATATTTTGGCCTCATATATTAATGGCTTGTGTGTACACAGTTTTTCTACACCTAGTTTTCCGTTTCCATTTATCAGGTCTCTGTTCTACAACACTACATATTTTCTGTAATACGCTCTTTATGTTATCAAGCTGTTCTCCCATCATAAAAGCAAGAGTTTTTACTACTTTGGTGTAAACTCATATCGCAACCTTCTTATGCCTATCTAACATCTTATGCTCCATGTTGACCTCTAGAATGTACCAAGCTTGAGCACTGGCAGCGCTGTGCTTGATGCACTTTTCATTCTCAAGTAAACTAATCATGATGCTCTTAAGTCTTAGCCTTGGTTGACTAGCTTTGATTTCACTATCATTTGGTGTACTTTCTTGTCAGAATAACCAAAGAATGACTTTAAGCTAAACTATTTATTCAACTGCTTCTAACATTCTATCCTCAGTAATTCTGTTTCTTTTCCTCCATTCCCCCACCATTTATAAATGCATTTTTAAATTTGGTACGGTGGTACTGAATTGCTACAACTCTGAAAGTTGTACTTTTATTGCAAATCATTGATTAACCACTTTATTGGAACCATTTTGTCAGTGGATTTTTATGAAAAAGAAGCAAATACAAAGAAAACAAAAATTATATCATATCAGGGATTTATTCCAAAAACATGGTGCAGGATAAAGTGGGTCTATATAGGTTCATCCTATTCCCATACACATTTTATATTTTTATCTGTTCAATAAAGATTATGGTTCAAAGTGGTGATTCTAAGAACTGATTATTATAAAGTCCTAAAGTTAAAAGAATTCTTAAAATCTATGCTATGCATTGTAACTGTTGAGGCAGGGAATAATAGATTAATTTATGCAAAACCGGTTTTTCAACAAAAATTTATATTTAGAGGAGTTTTCTGTTTAAGAACTTTTCTTAATTCCTGTTTACCATCACTGCTGCTGATTTCTTGACTGCTGGTGTCATGAGAGCTGCTATGAAAAAACACGAAAATATTAGGTAATATGTCTGAGTGAGGTGGAGTGACCCATCAAATGCAAATTAAGTCAACATGATATTCTTTTATCAATCAAATTAGCAAAGACATTTCAAATGATATCAGTCAGTGTTGGAAAGAGTACAGTAAACTTTCTCATGTACAACTGGAAGAGCCATGCACCTTTCTGGGGACCCATTTGACGTGAAAGTTGAAAAGAAAACATCAAGAGTAGTTTAGGTAATGTAAATGTCACAGAAAGTTATCGTCTAGGAATCCGTCCTTAGAAAACAATAATATCAATCACACACTTGGATAAAAGCTTCTGTCAAGGTGTTACAGACTGACTTATCATGGCAAAAGTCTGAAATAATCTATATGTTCAAACATAGGAGAATGGTAATCTATTGTACATCTATAGAGAGACTGTCACAATTGGATAAAATGTGTACCCCAAAAATAAAATAATAAAAGGGATAAATACATATAATTATTAATATGTTTATTATATATTTATAATATATGTATAAGTATATACTTATAATATTATATATACTGTAGATAAATATATATTTATAATATATAATGTATAATAATTAATATATAATAAAATGGAGACTGCTCAGAGATATTATAAAGTGAAAAAAAAGAGATGCAAAACTATACATGCTGGAAAAATCCAAATGTCCATCAATAAATAGATGAATGGATAAACAAAATGTGGTAAATACATACAGTGGAATAGTATTCATCCTTAAAAAGGAACAAAATCCTGATACATGCTAAAACATAGGTTAACATTGAAAATATTATACTAAGTGAAATAAGCCAGATACAAAAGGACAAATAATGTACTATGATTCCATTTACAGGAGTTACTTAGAATATGTAAATTCACTGAGACAGACAGTAGAGTAGAGGTTATCAGGGGCTGAGGGAGGAAGAAATTGGGAATTGTTTACTGGGTACGGAGTTTCAGTTTGGGAAGATGAAAAAGTTCTGAAAATGAATAGTAGTGAAGGTTGCACAACATTGTGAATGTACTTAATGCCACTTAATTATACACTTAAAAATAGTTAAAATGATACACTTTATGTTAAGTGAGTTTTACCACAATAAAAAATGCATAGAAAAAATTATATACACATGTTTACAAAAAATGCATACTTTGAAATACAGGATAATGTATAGATAGATATTAAGATGTAATCTCTGGATACTGATTGATTTATTTTAAAAATATGGATGGATTTATAAAAAAAAAAAGGTTTGTATTGAACACCTACTATGTGCCAGTTACTATTCTAGGACCTGGGGATAGATCTTGGTAAATAAGGAAAGTAAAATGGCTCCTTACTCTAGTGCAGGGGATAACAGATGTTGAGATGGTCAGAAAAATTTTTTGACCCTTTCTTTACTTTCTAAATCCTTCTAATGAGTATGCTATTTTTATATTTCGGGGTAAAACATAAGTGGAAGAAGGAAAGCAATTATGACAAACAATATTGGCTTGAGATGGACTTTCCCCCTTGGTGTAAACTCATACCCCATCAATACAGAGAACAGTCTGATGATGATGGATGACGGGGCAGGGAGCACCAGAGCTTAAGAAACAAGGGGACCTGTGGAGTGCGTTCAGCCTACCATCCTGCCCTTCTCCCTGTTATGTTTTGGGCTTTTGGCTTCCAGAAGCAGCTGGTCTGCAGTCACTCTGTTCATCCTGCTCCCTGTATCCCATTCCAATGGTTGTTTACATCAGCGTTCAGAAGATTAAGAGCTTTGCTTTTCTGGCCTCAGGATTTTATTCCTTTAAAAATAGCCCTGCAATAATTTGAATAATTGTTTTGGCCCTCTCTCTACCTATAATAGGCCATTAAATGTCTTCTAGAGACTCACAAAGCTGATCTGAAAATATCAGGCAGAGGTTAGTAGATGTACTGACTCAGCACCTCTCTGCCAAGAAATGGTGGCTATTTTTGGCTCCTCTTATAACAGAGCAAAACAGAGACTAATTTCAGGGCTTTGCAATGTAAAATGTCCTCAGTAGCCTCATTTCTACATCCCCTCTCCACCCCCAAATAACTGAACCTAAGTTTTTCTTCATTCTTACCTGATCTTGGCTGGGATTAGAGGAGGGAGCCTGACATGGATGGATGGAATTTGAGTTTCTTGATCCCCCACTCTGTGCTTCCTTCTGTGAGAGGAGAGAGATCTTCTACACAACGAAACCCCACTGCAATTCCTCTGTAACCTTTGGCCTAGGGATCTATTTCAGGTAATGAGTTCCACACTCTTTCAGAAACCTCTCTTGCCATTGAACTAGATTTTGGAGGTGTAGAAACATCTGGGTTTTGGACTGTGAGTTCCCAAAAGGCTGATGACATGTTTTAATTCTAGCTATTCTATGCATGTTTAATTTCTATGATGCATGAATAAGACCAGCTTTGATGGCTTCATTTTAGTCTTATTCCCAAGACAAATTTTACACTATTTTCTCCACAAACACGGACATTTTCTTCTTCATTTCAATTCTTTTCATCTCCCTCTCCCCCAAATCTCCAGTTATCAGTTCTTCCCATTGCAAATTCCTTCTCTACCCTCTATTCCTACTTGTTCATGATCTATTAATAGCAGGTTTGTCTAGGAAAGACTGCGTGGTTTAGTGGTTACAAAGCACAGGCTGCCTGAGTTCAAACTCTGATCCCACGACTTGTTTTTCACCTCTGTGTGCCTCAGTCTGTGTCTTCAGCTATAAACTGGGGCTAATAATAGAAACTATATGATAGGGTTATTGGGGGAGGGGCACTGAATGTGAAGTATCTCGCATAGAACCTGGCAATTGAAGAAGGATTCAATAAATGTTCATTGTTAGTGATGTTATCTAAATGGGTACAGGTTGAAACACTATTTAGGTAGGCAGTCCTTTCTTCATGGTCTTTGTCCAAATCTAGACTTGATTATATGAGGAGGAAAATGGATAATTGACCTGTGAAGGGAAATCTGGAAGAATGGGTTGCTCGCTCCAGAGAAGAGGTGACTGAAAAGGGTAACAGCTTCTACTTGCTGAGCATCTTCCAGCTCTGCGAGCACTTCCGCGTGTCTCAGTCCCTTTGATCCTACAGCAACCTGACCATCTGCCCAGAGTGAACTTGAGCAAATCACTGAGATTCAGTGTTCCTGCTTCTCAGCTATATTATTTCCCCCCTTTAAATGGAAGACGCTGCACCCTAGATATAAAAACAATTTGTCCAGGGTCAAAAACCAGTAAGTGACAAAGCTGTGTTGAGATTCCAG